GGTACTTATTACTGGGAGGGTGGTGGGGACCTAAACCCTAGACCCTCAATCCTAAACCCTGGACCCTAATAGCAGTAATAGGGCTGTTTTGTGTGCCCCATTGATCCTCCAGTATCAGAATACTTCCGGCGCCTCAGCTCGTTTTACAAGCCACCCTAAACCCTAAACCCTAACCCTAAACCCTAAACGCGCCTCAGCTCGTTTTACAAGCCTCGGCAACTCAGGAGTGCAAAGTGTGCATAGTTTGCATGAAGGCTCCATGAAAGGAATGTTGTCTTGCCAGAATCTTGCATGTAGATAGAATATGGGGTATATGGGGATCTTATCATAGTATACCCAAAGCCATATTCTATCTACTTAAGGGAGACTATACCCTTTGAAAGGGATGGACCATCAGGAACACACCTTTTTCAACCGGGGTCCTAAGCAAAAAGGAACTTACTTTGTTACGGCAAGTTTGGGATTGCCTGTGAGCAACTACATGTAAAATGCCCCGGAATGTGTTGATGCACGTGTGCCCGTATGCTGTGACCCTGCAGGACTTCAAGCCCAGAGAACTGGCATCCTATGCATCCCAAACATGTTGGGGTTTCTCGATGACGCCCACTAAGCCCGAAACCTACACCCAAAAAAACATGGAAACCCATGAGGACTTTGAAGGCTAGTTTCCCCCTTAGAATGGGGGGAAATGTGGAGTTGCATCGTCCGTGGGGTACAGGTAGCTTGTTTTGTGCGCTGCAGCTGTTCCGGTGCTGCTATTGTAAACATCGCTGTCGCTCTTCTTTGAAACAAATGGCGGGACTTGCTGACTTGCAATCCATGCAAGTGTCTCAGAGATAACCAGTCATCCGGTGTTGGACCTTGGACCTAGCGTTATATGGACAGTCAGGAGTTGCAACATGTTGTGTTCAGATGAGGCGTAAAAAACGCCTGCGAGGAGAGCCTTAAATTGCGAAGGAGTGTCGTGGCGACGGCTGCGAACACTGGGCCGACCTGGAAAGCAGGTTGAAAAGCACGCCGAAGAAATTTATGCGACTGTACCTCACCTGACCCCGAACATTGGCTTACCTAGCAAATGGTCCAGAAAAGGCAGTAGTGTTTTAATCTAAGGACTAGAGCAAGAGCAAGACTATTGGCTTGCAGCCTTCATCCATTTTTACTTTTCCTATATACTGTAACTAACTTACATCTAAAGACCTTGTTCTATGTGGTGAGAGCTTCACATTGTCCTTGTTGCCTAAGGCCATGTATTTCTGTAACATAAATACTTGTCTAAACAGTGAAACAGTGATGCTATAGTACGCCATGGTGCGCAGGAATAGATTTCCCTCTGGTTGTAGTGCTTTCCTAAGCCAATACAATGCTGCTTGACTCAGACACGGACCTTCTGGGGGATCAAAAGGTTCCGGGTCCCGGGAGGCTAGTAGGCTTTGTCCTCCCGGGTGTAGAAAGGTCATCCTAATTTTGGCTAACCATGATATTGAAAGTAATGCTAGTGACAAAGTCTGGAAAGTGTGTGCGCTAGCTCGACATGTTAGGACCGTAAGGCCCTCGTTCGCGACATTTTGTTTTTCTTGGAGACCCTGGGCAACTTGGTTGATGTTAGATGTGTATTTATACTTATTATTAGGATCTGTTTGCGTCCCGTCGACCCGGTGGACAGCTCTAGTTGCCACTGTGCTCACGGATCGAAGCAGCATGTACTCCATGTCATTGTCATAAAGTTGATAGGTTTAGTGTTCAGGGGTTCGGGTATGGACGTTGACAGCAGTTAAAAGAAGTTTGACCCAATGAGCACATCCGGCAAGGTGCTTGCTTCCAGCTGTAAAGAGACTTCCGCAGTCAGCGCTGGTCAGGCAAAGCAGACCGCCTTCTTGGAGGGTAACGGGTAGCTACGAATAGGACCAAAATTAGTTCTGCAGCATACTCCAAGTTGCCATGCCTGCTGCTTCTCGGTAAAGCAGACGAGTATCTCTTGCGGGGGGCCTCTGACACGCGGAAGCCCCCGGCTGTGATAGGAAACAGGAAACACCTTTCTCCTCAGCTTGCTAGTGGTTAGTAGGGATTGAGAGAATATATTCTATGGGGATGCCCTACCAGCCCTAAACCCTAAAACCCAAACTCTAAACCCTAAGCCCTAATCCTAAGCCCTTAGCCCTAACCCCTAAACTTTATAGATATTCCCTTATTCCTGAGTAACCACCAGTAATTAGGAGTGACAAAAGTTCTGTTCAGACAGGCTTGCCTGAAGACTTGAAGAGCCAGGCTTGCCTCCAGATGGCTCTTACGTGGGAGTGATGGAATCTACTTCGTTAGGGTTGAGGGTTGAGGGTTTGGGGTTGGGTTTCTTTCCTTCACTCTGGGGAGCCAAGAGAGGGTCTTTGAGAGTCCCAAACACGAGATTCTGGCGAGAATATGAGGTGCGAGGGGGGCAGCTGACTTCCGTGTGCGACTTGCGAAGGAAGTGGCTAACCTGTAGCCTTTTTGGGGTGTACACGGTCCGACCCTAAACCCTAAACCCTTATCTGGTTTTGGCTAGGAAGCTCAGCAGCTAGGCAGAGTTCAGAGCTTTGGGGGGAGGGGGGAAGTCTCAAAATTGTGGGCGCTGAGGTCTTCACAGAGCAATTGCATTATTTGGGTGCGTAGATAAAAAAGGGTGGGGGGTCTCAAATTTTGAGAAACAGGAGATCTGAACAGATTGCTATAGTTTACCACTAGCGTCAGTTCCCAACATGCTTGTGTAGCAACTAGATTCAGCACGGTTGTGTCATAGTCGTAGTCACTGGATATCATTGTCATTTGTATTGTCTTCGTTTCTTTTGTAAATAGTTAAGAAATCTATAGCATGCTAGTTTTGTTATCCCGTAGCTGAATATTTGATAGTTCGGTGCCTTCACATACCTTGGGTGAGTGTTCCACCCACCAGTAGCGACCACAAAAGATAATTGTACTTGTGCTCGTGTCCGTCTAAATTCCTTGTACACCACTAGTAGCTATGGGAGATCTTCGAGCAGGGCCTATGATGTTGTGAGGATTTCGCGCGTCCGCAGCCGCTTCCGGACCATGAAGAGACCAACGGGTGGCCCAAACGGCGAATTGTTCACACCATCGATCAGACTTCTTTTCCAGTATCCCAAATGTAACCCCTATATAATCATTTATAACCCCTCATAGCCCCTGCATAATCCCCAATAGAACCCTACATGATCCCAATATAACCTCTTATTCTCAAGATTCAGGCCTTCACTTGCCGGAGACAGCAGCACAGCAGAACAGGAGCAAAGAGTCAGAAATTGCTGCCGGGGTTACTCAAAAGGACCTAGTCACCCCTAAGTAGATGAAACCAGAATAGCACGGACACATTTAGTGCATTCATCATACATACCCCATTATAATCCCTATATAATCCCCAATATAACCCTATATAATCTCAATATAACCCCTTACTCCTGATTCCCATCTTGCAAGAGTTTGGGGATCAGCGCCTCAGCGTGGACCAACTTGAGGACCAGCAGGCACAAGGTTTAGGGGTTCAGGGCACAAGATTCGGGTTCAGGGTTTAGGGTTTAGGGGTTTAGGGCTTAGGGTTTAGGGTTTGGAGTAAATTCAGAGTCTAGGCTTGGGTTTGGGGACTAGGGTCAAGGGATTCGGGCAAGGGTTATAGCGCGCAGTAATCTGAAACAATAGGAAACTACCCACTGCATGTGGGGCTTCTGGAGTGAAGTAACGGGTTGAAGGTAGATTAAGCCTTATGTGATTTTGGGCCGCAGTGCGGGCAGGCTGAGTCAGAATTCGCAGACCCAGCACCACACCAGACTTAGGGCCTGGGGATTTGGAAATGGAAGCAAAAACCGGGGTTTAAGGTTTGGGGTTTATGGGTTTAGGGTTTTAGGGGTTTAGGATTTAGGGGCTTAGGATTTTGAGTTTATGGGTTCAGGGTCTTAGGGGTTTAGGGTGAAGGGTTTAGGCCGTCCTTGAAATTGTGACTTGGAGGGCTCGGAAATCCTCCCCGTGAGCTCTTCTAAAGCGTTCTGAACGCGGCATGGTGTGGAAACAGGTTTCATCAAATTCTTGTGCTATGAAAAACAATACACTCTATAGTAGTTTCCGTGTTCTTGTCCATTATCCCTATATTACTCCATATTCCCCTGAATTACCCTAAATTACCCCAGATTACCTTATATTACCCTATATTAAATGGGAGTGCAGGTCGGAAGTCGCGTATGCTCACATCCCACTACCATTCGCCACTACCGTTTAATTGAGAGGACCCCGATATGGACCCCCAAAATACTATAGTCCTTATTATAAGGAACTCCAAAAAGGTACCAATATGGACCCCAAAATATTATAGTCCTTATAATAAGGAACCCCAAAAAGAAACCCTAAACCCTAAACCCTAAACCCTGTACCCCTAATTTTGGGAAATTCCCATTTCCCTGTCAGCCTTCAGGTTCTGCAGTGCCAGCCATGCTAGTATAGGGGTTGATTGGGGTCATATTGGGATAATGGAAAATAGAATGGAAACTACTACAGTATATTCGGGTTGTTTGGGGTCATATTGGGGGTTGTATTGGGATAATGGAAAAGAAAATGGAAAAGAAAATGGAAATTACTATAGTATATTCGGGTTCAGGGTTCCCATCCAGACTTCTGCCACAGTTTTTCCGGGTTTCGGCGAGAAGGAATGCCTGCCAGGTAGCATCATGGCGCCTACTGAAGAGGCAACGGGCCTATCTTGCCGTGCTCGCTGACCAACACTGGCTGCTTGCGTGTGCTGTTGGGGTCGTTTCTCTAAATAAGGGGACCCCAATATGGACTCCAAAATACTATAGTCCTTATTATAAGGAACCCCAAAAAAGTACCCGGAAACTTCCATACGTCGAGGGGCAGGCGCTTGGAATATGTGCAACCGTTCCCTTTCACAGGCATTTGTGCTCAACGCAGAGGTAGTTCGCACCTGCTTAGAAAGCGCTACAGATCACTACAGACCCGACGCAATGGCTTTCTTCTCCCTTAGTATGGTGCTCTCCCTGGCAGCACTCACTGCCGCGGAGACCTCCTTCTCTACCTCGCATGCACAGCTCGAGGCCAAGATGATTCTGTACACCAACAGCTCCTGGCATTTGGGAGGCTTTTGCCTTGACCAAGCCGGGGAGGGGACCACCAAAGCAGCTGAGATCCATGCCCGCGTGGAGTGGGAGGGCACCAAGAGCCTCGGAGAGACCGGGCCCGTGATGTTGGTGGCCTTTGATGCACGGGAGGAGCGCTGGGGCGCAGTGAAGGACTCCTGGGGTCAGATGCCTTGCGAGGAGAAGCTGCAGGCGGCTACCATGTCACGTCAGCTTGGTGGGGCCCATTCTTACGATGACTTCTTCTTCCGCATCAACGTGCACCAGAGCTCAGCTATGAGGGACTGGCACTTCGCAGTGCTCACCTGCGGTGCTACGGAGCGTGCCCAGTTCTCCTTGACGCTTCAGGCGCGCTCCTTAAGCTCAGGAGCATCCCCTGCGGTTTAGCTATTGTCAAATTCATGAGGGGGTTTCCCAAAATTAGGAGTACCTTTTTGGGGGTCCCAATAATAAGGACTATAATATTTTGGGGTATATATTGGGGTCCCCTTATTTTGGGAAACTACCATGAAGCCTCAAGTTCTAAGCGTCATGACGCGCAGGCAACACATGGTGCTCTGAGCATCTTCGGGGCTAACACCCACTTCCAGACCAGTAGCTGCCCCGCTGAGCTTCGGCAGCAACTTAAGCAGGGGTGCCCCGAGATTGGGGATCCATAGTAATGGTAATAATGATAATAATAATAGTAGTAACAGTAATAATAGTAATGATAGTCATAGTTTTGGGAAGCCCGTCCTTGTCTAAGATCTTCGGCAAGGTTCAACCATTACCAGCAAAGGCTGGGTTTTGATGTAGCGTTGAATCCCGCAGTTCGTTTGCTGATCGGTGCCAGCTCAAGCTTTTGGATGCATTTGATGTGGCCATTCGCCTCAGGATGGGACTCTTCAGGATTCCCGGTTTCAGGTCAGGTCCAAAGCTATTCATGTCTTGTTCAACCGCTAATTCACGGAGACCAGGCAATCAATTTTTGCAAAGGGAGTAGTCCAGCAGCGGCCTGTTTCCTCAATTAGCGACACTTTTTCCAGGTGTGCTGAGTTATCCGCAACTTTCGCGGCTGCTTTGGGCATTACAAGCCCTCCCCCTTGTTGAAGTTTGCTGAAAAAACCTACTGCACCCGCAGCCCTCTTCGTATTGGGTTGGATTTGACGCAGCTACTTAGCTGCTGAGCTCAGCAAGCCTCTGCCTACTGAATCTAATGGAGCTTCAATTAAAACAGCTGAGGCTCTCTGCAACCTTCTTGTTATTGATGTGGTTTGAAAGCTACAATCCAATTTGTTTGGGGAGCTTTTCAACCGCATTCTGCTTGGGGTGTCTAGTACACGAATGAGGATCGACGGCCACATACAGACTAGAAGGGTATCGTGAGGCTTGTCAGTGCATGGGGCTTGGGGGAGGGGATGATTACTACTATTATTAATTTACGATTTACTGTTATTACGATGAGTAATGTTATCATATTATGACATTCATTGTCCCTAAACTCCTAAAACTTTGCATGGGGTCCCCGGTGCACCGAGCTTTCTAACAATCTTTCCCAAAGATTGCTCTGAGAGCCTCAATCTCCACAAGCCACCAACAAGGAACTACATTTCCTGTTGTCCTGTTGTGATAGACAGCCTAGACTCATCCCAGTTTCCAGTCTACTCTACATTAAGCTCCTAAACCCTAAACCTTAAACCCTAAACCCCATTGCATCTGATGGCCGTGTCTGTTCCACCAACCCGAAACCCTAAATCCTAATCCCTAATCCCTAAACCATGGCTCTTCCACGAAGGTGCAGAGCATGAATTGGCTGGAGGCCGCCCATGATGAGGTGCCCCAGCCGCAAGCAACCACACGAAAAAAAAGAGCTATAGTCTAAACTTCTTAAAGGGGTTGAACGCTTTCCTGGGGGTCATATGGGGTTTAATGTTGGGTCCTGATTAGTGTGGGGGCCCCACCCCAAACAAAAATGGGGACCCATTTAGTGTAGGGGTGGGTGTACACCCCAAACATTCCATGGTTTTTAAGTTCTACCAGTAATTGACATTCAATAGGAGGAATCAGGATCTGCTCGGTAATAGATCAGAAGGGTTTTAGAAAGCATTAAAAGGGTTTCTATTGACTTATTCTCAGAATTATTTTATTTGGCCGCGCAACTTCGCACAATTAAGGACCCCCAAACGAACCTAGAGGGTGGTGAACAATCACAGTTGAGGGCCCCCACACTAATCGGGATCCAACATTAGGGTTTAGGGTTTAAACTCCCAAATGGGGATTATATCGGGGACTACTATAGGGGTTATGAAGGGGGATACTAGGAGTTAAGACTATAGCTCATTTGGCGGTTTTCCAGAAGCAGGGGTGGGGCCTCCTTTTAACAAGGATTATTTAGATGTATTTGGGGTACCACTACATCCCCAATACTATCCATGCTCAGGTTGGCTTCTGGCTGCTGCTGGTCGTTGTGCTACTGTTTGGATGCTCCTCAGTGCTTGCCATCGTTGCCTGCCGCCATTTCCGTAAGAAGGCCATGGGCTGCCTTGTTGTTGGACGAGGGACATTAAGGATTACAAAATATGTGGATATATGGGTGTCGTACGGGGTTATGTAGGGATTATGGGGGTTGTATAGGGTGTTGTAGGGCTTATGTAGGGATTATCCGGGGTTCAGGGATAGCACCCCAACAGTGGAGTAGCAAAAGGAAAAGAAGATTGAGAATGAAGTGGAAGCTGGGATTATACTATAGTAGTTTCTGCTCAGGATTTCCAACAATTGCCAGGGTTTTGGGGGCGGTTCTTACCGCAGGGATTCAGTATCTTAGGCATATAGAAGGTCCTCCATTTTTAGAAACTGCTAGACGTGGCTGAAGAAGACGTGCCCACAAAACGCGTCCTTGCTCACAAGATGGGCAGCCCAACAAGAAAAGACGTGGGGGTTCCCACAATTAGTGGTACATCTTTGGGGTCCCCATAATAAGAACTATCTTATATTAAGGGACCTCTATTTTGGGAAACTACTACGCTCCCGTTTCTCCGGGTTGCCAGATAGCATGTGTGCGGCTCGCAGGCCCTACAAAGGAAACGCGGTTCCTTGATAGGTTTCAAGAAGCAGGGCTTGATACCCTGACACTTATAGTCCCCGCCTGAGTAGATAGAATATGACTTTGGGTATATTATCGCGCGATTATAATAAGATCCCCATATACCCCCTATTCTATCTACTTAAGGGGGACTATACACAACAGGAATACCCCATGTTGCGTCTTCTGCATACCTTGAGCCGGGACCATCCACAGCTGCCCCAGTTGCCTTAACTCCTCCATCATGTGGCCGTTTGGGTCATAGAAGCGGGCTACACTGGCCTATGACCCTCCAATTTGAAATATGCCTCGTGGAGAGAAAGTGCCCCAGCTCTGCCAGCATTTCCTAGGGCCCGGGCTTGAATGTTGGGAAGGGCGGTGTCTCCTATCCCAACTCCTTGGCCAGTTTGCCTCGTAATGCACCCCCATCCCTTTCGATCAACTTTCCAGCTACCACCCTAAACCCTAAAACCCTAAAACCCTAAACCCTAAACTACCATCATCTCCCCATCCAACGTGCGAACCTCCCCAGGCCTCAGGGCGACATTCCTGAGCGCTACCGTCACTACAGCCTTCCATCACCTTCATATGGAGGGGTTGTCAAAATTGCAACTCCTATATCAAATATTCCCTTTCTCCTTACTAGCCCCAAGATATACCCTATTATAATGTAGTAGTTGCCTGTTTCTTTTCCATTCTTCAGGGTGCCCAACAGGGGACCGTGATTTTCACAGCCCTCCATATGGACCAAGGGAGCTTGGCATGAGTCTAGGGCTCAGGGTTTAGGGTTGATTGCCTCTGGTTAGCGATGGCTTGTGAGATGGTCTATTGGGGCCTTTTATTCATAAAAACCAACAGTACGTCAAAATCAGCCCATACATCAATCAAGGACTGGGGGATTAGTTCTATTTATGGGTTATTAGGGCCTGCATGGGTTTGTTAGGAGGATATGGGAGGTTGTCAACATCATGGTCCATTCTTGGTACCCAATGTACCGTGGCCGCTGTATTCTGGCAACCCCAAAAAAGGGCTATGGTTTCGACAGCCCACCATATGGGAGTGTTGCAATGGATGTCCGTTCATTTCTTCCCTACATACGAGTTTCAGTACCATGGGTAGGTATAATTGGGGTTATAAACAGGGTAGTTGTAGTTCGAACTTTGTGTAAGCTTCTTTTGGGTACTTATACTCCTACTTGCAATTGTGTCTATGTGGAGGGTCAGGGGGATTGAGCAAGTAGATTACTCTTGGTGTACGGTAGCTATGGTATGGATTAAAGGGATTTGCAATTTGGGTAGTTCCAAACATTTAGGTTCCATTTTGGTACCCCTAAATATCAGGTGCCGCAATACAATCTAGAATCAAAAGGGGCCCATATTTTTGAGAACCGCCCATATACATACTAAGTCACCCTGACCCTCCAAGTATTTCGCAAGTAATGGTCCGGGCAGGCGCAGATGCAGCGCTTTGAGAACACCGCTGTTGCCGGTGGAGCCGAACCTGTCATCGGCAGGCAATGACTGTTTAGGGTTTAGGGTTTAGGTTTTAGGGTTCAGGGTGGGGAGAGCTGACAATCCCTCGACTTATGGGGGCTCCCAACATAGTACCCCTAACTTTACCCAAAACCGTAAGCCCTAAACCCCAAGCCGTAAACCTTAACCCCATATAACCCTATATAGTCCCAATAGAATATATTCCTTGTATAACCCTTATATTCCCCCCCCAAGCCCTAAACCCTAAACCCTAAAGCCCTAAACCCGGGGAGACTTCCTTATCTCTGCAATTTGTCTGCAGGCCTTGCAGTCAACTCGGTGAGGCAAAGGTGGTGGATGGCCAGATCACCAGGGACCGTTTAAGGTTTTAGGGTTTTAAGGTTTTAGGGTTTTAAGGTTCAGGGTTTTAAGGTTTAGGGTATTAGG